TAAGTAATCTAATCTATGAATAAGATCAAATCTAGATATAAATTTACTAAATCTAAAACTGAATATCTAAAATATCTCAATAAGTTTTATGGTGATATAATTATTTATTGAAATAAGACTATTGTTTTAGGACAAACAAAAATGATAAACAAGACTATTGTATTGCGACAGGACGGTGGGAGTATATAACTTATACCCTTTTTTATTATTTTAATTTATTTATGTTGTCTATATTAATAAGTGTTTAAATTTTATGTATAATGTATAACGTGTAATAATATATTGACTAATATTATAAATAAATTGTAAAATAAGATAATAATATGTCCATAATTTTTAATGAAATATAAATATATTTGATTAATGTATAAAGTTTACATCTACTCACTAAAAAAAATATTAATTATAAATAACTCAAAATGATAAAGTTAATAGTATATTAATTATGATAAAAAAAAACAATATAATTTAATAATTATTGTGTAGTTTTATAAATTTACACAATAATTATCCAGACTTACATAATATAACTTTGTTTTAATAATTTCATGTTTTTTTTTTAATGATATAAGCATTCAATAAATGTAGAAGATTTAACAATTTATTTATAATATTAGCCAATATATGATTATTGCGATTCTCTGTTAAAAAAATATATACAACAATATTTGATTTTGACACGAGATTTTAGGTGAAAAATATTAAGTAAGATAATTAAAAAAAATTAAATGATTTGATCGAAAGAGTAGTGTATATTTTATTTTTTATTTGGGTGATATGATTGGATAACGTGTGAGGTGAAAATTATGTATAATTAATTATTACTTATTTTTAAAAAATATTGCAGACTGTTTGAGACATACAAAAAATGAAGTATTGCATGGTGTTTGAGACGGATGAAATAACAAAGGTTAGGATTACGAAAGCGACGATAATAATACTCCCTACGTCTTGGAACTATAGTATTGATTGTGTTGGACACGAGATATAAAAAATATTGATATTATATTGATAGTGGGAAAAAAATATAGGTAAAAGACATTTTTACCCTTATGAGTGTATTACTGTAAAAGATAGTGACAATTGTGTAATAATAATGAAAGAGTAAGGATAGTTATACAATGATATGATTATTTATGGAAATAAGACTATTATTTTGATACAGTAACAAAACTATTGTATAGAGACGGAGAGAGTATGATTTTATTAGCATATGTTGACTTTATTTTGAACTTTTTAGTATTTATTTAGGACTAATTTTTTGTTATATATAAATTCTACTACAATTAATATCATTGGTCGGCCGCTGGATTAGTTGAATTAGGCCTTAAGCTGTCTATGTTATAACTTATAGTACTGCAATATATAAATTAAATAAATAAATGCGTGTTTTTATTTTATTTTTTATTTTTATTGTTGGAATATTTTGATTTCCATTATTCTTTTAAAAAAAATACAAATTACGGGTTTTTTTGGTTTAGTAAAATTATTTGAAGAGATTTTTTTATATGATAAATAAAAAATTGTGTAAGCAATAGAAATATAATGAACCTGTAATATATTAATTTTTTTGAAATTTTTGAAAATTGTGATCTTCACTAAAAGAACACACCCAATGTTTATTGAATGTAATTATTTCTATAAAATATTTATATATTTTTATTAAAAATAATAATATTGAATAATAGAAAAAACTAAAAAAAAAATAACATAATATAAGATTTTTTTACTTAGAAAAAAAAAACATAAAATAAAATAATATGTATCATTATCAATAAAAATATATTATTTTTAAAAAAATATAAAAAAAAAAATTAATACTAACATTTTCATAATTCTGAATAGGTGAAAATTAAAAACGACAAAATTTTAAATACTAAAAGAAGACCTATTAATATGTCACACCCCACTTAGGATTTAAATAATGAGATTGATATTATTTTCAATAAATCAAACAAAAGTTACAAAGAATGAATTTATGCTTATTATTATTATTATTAGTCACTCCGTCCAAGAGTAAATATCCATTTGCTTTTTCACGTAATTTTAAAAATATTAGTATTATATTAGAATATAATAGAAATAAAGTAGAAATAACTAAAATAACCTTATTAGTATATGTGATATAAAAGTAATGACACTTGTGTAATATATTGTAAGTTGTAAGGATATTTGTAATATTAAGTAGATAGTACAATTATCAAAAAAAAAAATAGATATTTTGTTATGGGACGGATTAAAATAAAAAAATGAATACTTTGTTACGATAATAAAGAGTATTATTACGAAGGTACATTTTGATAAATCCATTAGAATGCATTTTTTTAACAATAAAATTAATACTATGAGTTGAGTTGAAGTTGATGAATATAAATATATTGATATTTGTAATATATGTGATTTCTATATATTTATATTTAAACAAAAATACTATAAATATTATTGATCTTTACTATAAATAATAAATCTTGAAATGACAAAATTGGAAAATGTGTTTGGACATGATTTCGTATTTAGTAAATTTGATTTTCTACCCCTTATTGGTCTCATAAAATAGGAATTGAATTAATTTTTAAAATCTCAAACTTTATTCAAAATTTCATAAGATTCATTTGATTAAATAGGTGTGGAAAATAAATATTTGGTTCAAATATATAATCAAATAGTATATATATATTTTTAAGGAAATAACCAAATTTATATATTAAAAAAATTGAAATCAACATTGATTGAAAAACCTTTGGGCTACTAATAAAGTAAAGGCTTTGACCCAATAAAAAATTTGGGATTTTCAAATTTTAGCCCAAAGAAATGATAAATCCAATAGTGTTCTTTGATTCACATCATATAATTATATATATATATATATTATTAATACTAATGAAATCTTTATAATTTATAAAAAAATGCATTTTTATATATAAAATATCATATTAAACAAATAAATCTCTAAATTTAATCTACAATGATAAACGAAAGGCTCAACTAATTGAGTTTTGGAAGCTTGAATTTTGAAAGATTTTAAAAACATAAATTAAATATTTTATAGAATATTTTGTAAGATTAAATAAATATTTGTTATAATATATATATATTTATATTTGAGAAAAAATTATTTTTGAACTCAATATAACCAAAATTCATTTGATTATACATAAAAATTTTGATCCCAATATAACTAAAATTCATCAATTTTGGTTCCAATATAAAAATATTATCAATTTTAATCATAATATAACAAAAAATCATCATTTTTTGTCCAAATATAATAAAACATTATCTTTTTTTTGTCCTACCGTCAACAAACCGACAAAAAATACTGACGTGGACTTGCAAGATTGTGCAATTTATTCAAATATAAATATAAGGTTTGATTTCTTCTCACGTTAGCATTTTTCGTCGGTTTGTTGACGGTGGGACCAAAAAAGATAAAATTTGATTATATTGGAACAAAAAATGATGAGTTTTAATTATATTTGCACTAAAATTGATAAAAAATTTTATATTGAGACAAAAAATGATGAATTTTGGTTATATTTGGACGAAAATTGATAAAATATTTATATTGAGACCAAAATGGATGAATTTTGATTATATTGGGACCAAAAATGATTTTTTCTCTATATATTTTGTCAGAAAACAATATCAACAATAATGTCCAAATTCTAAAAAATATATATAAACAAAACCTTATTTATTACTAGTCTCATACACTACCATTTATATCCAATTTATTTATACATAAAAAGATAATTATAATTCAGTTCTATTTTTTCTATTTTAAATTAATTTACAATCTAACCATTTCCATCCAATTTCTACATTGATTTTTACTAATTGGAATTGACATTTTTTGTTACAAAAATTTCATTTTCGTTTGCAAAATATTATTTTAATAAAAACTAAAATCCCCAATCTAATTTAGATCCAAAAGAAACAGATTAGAGTTTGTTTTAATTTAAACAATATTTTAATACTACTATTTTATAAAAATATATAATATATTTTTATTAAAAACTTATAATGAATAATAATAATAATAATAATAATAAAAAAGCTATCAAAATATACCACCTAAAATAGTGAAAAAATAAGCATAACATAGTGGGGCACGATAAACATATTTAAAATTGACTCCAATAATATATAAATGTATTTCAAAATTGAAAGTATTTACCCTCAACTTCAATTCATTTATTATTTTAACTCAAAATTTTTCACTATTTTCAAATCCAAAACTATATCAAACTTCACTTTCTCGCTCGACCATCAAATTAAACATTTATTTTTTATTTAATATATTCCCAAAAAAAACAAATATCCATTAAAAAACAAGCACATAACATTTATTTATAGACAAAATTGCTTGTAATTTATTTGTAGTTTGAACCACACTATTATCTCTCATCATTTGAAAACTTCACAAAATTTCTTCGTGATTGTACAAAATCTCTTTTAAAATACAAAGGAGTTTCAACTTTTAGAAGATTTTGCTAAATATTTTTTAGAACACAAAGGTCGTGTTGTTTTGTAGGTTTTATCACAAATTTTTAATTTTTTTTTTCCTTCAAAAAATATCACATCAAATAATTATTTTTTTTCTTTTACAGTATTATTACTACAAATTTATTTTACATTCAAAACACCAAACACACAGCTTTATGCAGTTTCTAAATACAGAATTTTCAAACTACAAATAGACTATTAACAAATTTACTTTATTTATATTACATCAAACACCATTTCATTTCAAAATTTTTACTATATTCAAACCCAAAATTCAAATCCAAAAAACACACCAAGAGACTACTAGCCCATTTGGACAAATTATAGCTTCACTTATGCCCCAGCCCCTCTCTCTGACCACCCCCCTACCCCTCCTCCCCTCTCTCTCTCTCTCTCTCACTCTATAACATGCATTGTGAACCACCAGTTGGGAGATTTTAGTGTAGAGAATCAAAAAACATATCCAAGAATGAGATTGTATGAGCCAGATGGCATCCCACACAGCCAATCACAATCCCACACTCCTATCCTCACCAGATAAGGCTTCCCTTCTCCCTCTGCTCTAAATTAATCACATCTCTCTCTCTCACCTCCCTCCATAACCAAAACCAAAACCAAAACCATCTCAACCTCCCCTCCCATGGCGTCTGCCTGTGCATCATCCGCCATTGCCTTCTCTTCCCCAAGGCAATCACCAATCCTCTTTTCGATTCTATTCTTATCTAATTCTCTATATCTCATATTTTTAATTCCATTTACTCATCCAAATCAATATCATCATCAGATCATATATATATAAGCTGTAATTGCGTAATTTAGACTTACATTACTCATTGCTGCAGTTCCCAGATTGTCGGAGCTACCAAAGCCTCTTTCTTCGGGACAAGAAAGCTGCGGGTCACCAAGTTCGCAGCCCCGACCGCCGCAAGATCCGTCACCGCCTGCAGCTTCGCCCCCGACCCCGACAGACCCCTCTGGTTCCCCGGCAGCACCCCTCCCCCGTGGCTCGACGGCAGGTTTCGATCAATCTGCACAAAAATAAAATACATAACATTCAATTTATATATATATATATATATATATAGTTGTGTGTGTTTCGAAATAATTGATTCGACTTTTATCTATCTGCTTCGCAGCCTTCCGGGGGACTTCGGCTTCGATCCACTCGGCCTATGTAATTCACAAAACAAATGTTAAATTCATTAAAAATGGAGTCTTGAATTACGCAGTCTAACTGACGTCGATGCATGGCTGACATTTTTTGCAGCGTCGGATCCCGACAGCTTGAGATGGAACGTGCAGGCGGAGCTCGTGCACTGCCGATGGGCCATGTTGGGCGCAGCCGGGATATTCATCCCCGAGTTTCTAACAAAAATCGGAATCCTCAACACGCCGTCATGGTACACGGCGGGAGAGCTTCAGTACTTCACCGACACGACGACTCTGTTCATCGTCGAGCTGGTTTTCATCGGCTGGGCCGAGGGGAGAAGATGGGCCGACATTCTGAAGCCCGGATGCGTCAACACCGACCCGATTTTCCCCAACAACAAGCTCACCGGGACGGACGTCGGGTACCCCGGCGGGCTCTGGTTCGACCCTCTCGGATGGGGAACTGGATCGCCGGAGAAACTTAAGGAGCTGAGAACGAAGGAGATCAAGAACGGACGGCTGGCGATGTTGGCGGTGATGGGAGCATGGTTTCAACATATATATACTGGAACGGGCCCGATCGACAATCTCTTTGCGCACCTTGCTGATCCCGGGCACGCCACTGTTTTTGCTGTAAGTACAAAAAATAAAAATAAAAAAATCGATGAATCAGTAATTGGAGCTAATGAATGTTTCTATTGTAATATTGCAGGCTTTTTCACCCAAGTGAAAGGTTTGACGGATCAGATGTTTAACAAGTATCGGGTAAAGATTGAGAGCAGAATTGAGAATTCATCAGTGTGTTGTTCCGATTAATGTTGTGCATCGTTAGATATGTATTGGTAAATCTTTATAAGGTGTAGAAGAAGAGCTCATGCTTTGTACAAAGACCTCTAAGAGATCGCGACTACGTAAATAGACTTCATCTCCTTAAATCTATCCATTTAACATCATCAAAGGGAAAGTAAAATAAGAAATTCTCGATCTAGAGAGTAAAAGCAAGCAAATAGTAGCAAAAACCATTCGATATCTAAGAACAGGCAAGCTCAAAGCAAATATACAGATTTGAGAAGTATTGTCACCAGCAAAATGCTGTCGCAACTTTCTGAAAGTTATTACATTTATCAGCTGATAAACAACAAAAAACAGCTCGATCTATAATATTAACATTATTCAGAATTTTCAAGTTAGAATCGCAGTTCATGTGTACCAACATTTATGAAATTCATATTCATCGAATCCAAAGGAGGCCTAAAGTTTCAGATGGGGAATAATCGACAGTATGCAAATGCCAACTCTTGTCATGTTCATAAATTGTGAAAAATCGAGCGTAAAATGAATATAAGTAATAAACCAACAACCATGTAAAATTGTTATGGTCGCTTTCATCTTTTCCATAGAAACATGAGAGGCAAACAATTCCGTCTATGAATGCAGGAAATCAGAAAGGGCAATTCCTTGATCTACATAAAAAATGAGAAGATAGATATCCTTGCACTCAAAAAAATTTCGAGCATTAATAGCATAACATCCGCAGCTTAATGAGTTTCATTTCTTTGTAATCAGAGCCAGCCTCACAGTCAAGACATAAGAGAATTAACTAATCCGAGATCCAAAACTAATAACAGCCGTATCCACAAGAAAATGATGGCAATAATTGGTATATGAATAGTTATTAGTTTTACGTATGTTACGTGTAAGCCAAGTAATATATCTATGCTATTGTAACATGTCATCATCTAAATATATTGAATCTAACAAGAATTTCAATCAAGCTACTTGTTGAGTTCGAATTACCAAGAACTGAATTAGGAGTTGCCGCTGAAATTTATCTAACTCCAACTTAATGCATAGGCAGCATCACTCAAGCCAAAGGAATCACAATCATGAACAATGTAATGAAAACAGTATTGATTTGACCGAGCCCAAAAATAACTTTTGAAAAAAGGATATTAGTCGGGGTGCGATCAAGATTCATAAGGAATCAGTTTGCTGTAACAGAGATATCTGTGATTCAGCAGGTAATGGTCATTCGTCATTTTAATTCTCTATAAAGATGATGGCCAACATGTTGAGGTTGTATAGCAGCAAACTTCCATTAGCTTCAGTAATAGAAACCCCGAAAATACCTCATATTCTTTCTGTTACCACTCAATGTTTGATCAAAAAGATTTTTGATTCGTTTGTATAACGTTTTCATGGCCAAACATAATATACATATATTGTGCCTATAAATGTTTATGAATTGAGTTGTATGTTATTTGATTTGTTTAGTTGTTTAATCTTGTTTGCATATAGTAATAATCGGATATAGTGACACTACATGGAGATAAGCGTTAATCATAGAGCAAAATTACTCGGAGGTGCGCAAGTTTGTCTTCTAGGTATAACAAATAAATTTGTATTCGGAGGGCCATTCTAAATTTGTCAAAATGAAGATATTTCTTCTCTAAGTTCCTAATGGCTATCTTACGTATAAATATGTATTCAGATGGTAAAAATCATTTAAAATTGTCAAATGTCAATGTATTGTTTTTCTACTTTGGCGAAGAACTGAAATGAAATTCTGAGATTGGTTCAATACATTCATTACATTTGCAGTATTCATATATGGCCTTAGCATAAAGCTTTCAACATACAACCGATGAAACGGTAATCTAGCTTGTTATAATTTACGGAGTTTCTGTTTTTCCCTAAAGTAGAACACAAAGCCTGAAACAAAATCCGAAGGGAAGAAGATTCATATTCATTGGCAATAGATCTTGTATGGAACCTTAAGCATTATCAACTATCAACAAAAAGTTTCATTATAAGGGTGTGTTTGTTTGGATTTTGTAGGATTTCTACTATTCATGACATTCCCCCTCCAAAATACCAAATTAAATACCTATTTTTCATTTTCTATATTTTACTAAAAACCAATTTTATATTCAAAACATCAAATTAACCCTTATTTATATCACATCATACAACTATTCTAATTCAAAATTTTTACTATTCAAATCCCATCTCAAAATCCAAACCTCCAAACAAATACACCCTAAATTTACTTGGAAAACCATCCCAAGTACTACTGATTTCATATGCTTTTGTAATTTTGATCGGGCAGCGTAAGAAGAAAGATCGTAAAATACAAACACCTTACAGAATTGTAATCACATATAACCAAAAGGGATCAACAAGAACCTAAATATAAGGTATTTCTTTTTAAGCAAAAAATTAATTCTACCAGTACTGTTTACATAGACACTTTTAAAACTTTTGACACTATTTATATATCAAATATATTCTTCATTTCATAAACATCACATCACAAAATACCCAACATTTTACTATTCTCAAAATTTTCTAAAACTCCAAAACTTTTATCTAAACGGCACCAAATTTAATAATGAAAGGCGATGTTGCATTATCCTACTACAAAGGAGCAAGCATCACAAGAATAAAAATTCAAGAATGTACGAAATCCGAATCCATTTCTAGTTTTCATCCTACTCGTATCGAGGAACATCAATTACTTTCTAGATAATCCATGAAAAAATGACAACCATAAGCCCGTCTAGCTAATGCAACACATTAAGACCATAAAGAACTTAGAAAATCCATCGAAAAATCGAAAGGCACAATCATTACCATAAATCAACAAAACCAAACCACTACGTGTACAATGGAAGATGATCACTCTTTTCAATTAGCTATTTTTTACTGCTTAAACTTAACAATTTCGACTTCAAATGCATCATTAACTAAAAAAATACATAAAACACAAAAAGCATTAACCATAAATCCAACATTACGGAATTACGCAATGAAACAGAGATCTATAAAATTAAAAAACTATAATTTCACTTTTTTTCATAAAAATTAAAAGCTATAATTATCAATTACACCCTAAATCCAATCCGCCATATCCATTCAAATCTCCGACGTCTCCAACAACACCAAACAGCAGGAGCAGCAGCAACCAATCCATCATACATATACATACATACATACATATATATAATATTACAAATACTTGAATGGAATTGAACAAACCCGAATAGGTTCACGAGGTCTGGTTCGGGGGGCGAACGGAGATCTGAACCGGAAGGGGCCGGCCGGTGCCGGTCCCGCCGCAGCTACTGCAGGCCATCCGGCCGGAGCCGGAGCAGGTCCGGCAGCCGTAATCCCCGTCGGACCAACGAGTGCACATACAAGAGACCCGACCCGTGCCGTTACAGCGAGGGCATCTGGGAGCCCGGCCAGAGCCCATGGTGAGATTCTGGTCCATGACCTGCTTGACAATAACCGCCCCGGCTAAAAAGCTGAGGCCAGTGGCCAATTGCGTCAACACGATCGGACCCATAGTTAGGCGGAGTGCGTTTTCCGGCGAGATTGGGGGATTGGTTTTGGGGAGGGGAAAGTTGTTTGTGATTAGAATATATGGTTAAGGTTGGCGGTGCAGTTGCAGGAAGAGAGAGGCGCATTGGTGGAAGAAGAGTACACGTAATTGTAGAGGTGCTGGTGGTGTTGGGCTGCGGGGGAGATTTTTGGAATGTAGTGAAGATTTTAACTCTCATTCCTTTGTTTTATATATATATTAATTTTCTATAAATATTATTAAAAAAATATAAATATATACACATTAATATAATATATATTATTTATTTTAAAAATCATAATTATTTAATATAAATATATTTTATTTTTATTTTTTTTACATACCACACCATGTACAAAATCAATTTAAGTGAGTGAAGAAACCTATTTTTATTTTTATATAATTAACAATATTGATTTTTAAAATAATCTATATACAAATTAAAAAAAATTAAAATATATATTTAAATATTTTAAAATTTATATAGCAATAATATATATATTGCAATAGGGATATATTTTGAGAAATACAAATAAAATTGAAAATAAATTAATAATTTAATGAGAATCATATAAACTATAAATTGAAAGAAAATATTTAGATTGGATAATTCAAAATGATAAACATAAATATTTAAATATAAAATTTCTTAAAACAAAAATAAATGTATATATTTCAATATAAGATATTTTAAATAAATAAATACATATATATATATAACATCATATTCAAACTATAAAATATAAAATCAAACTAAAAAAACAAAAAATCTTAATTTTGTACTCCGTCCTCAACAAGTGCTACATTTAAGTTGGATACGAAATTTTAGCGGAGGAGTATTAAGCAGTGTATTTTTTTTTTTTATTAGGGTGATGTGATGAAATAAAATGTAGAGTATATATTAAGGGTAGATGACATTTCTATTTTATTTTATTTTAATATATTCAGTTGTGTTCTTTTGAACTTAGAATGATTGAAATTTTTTGTTATTATTTATTGAAATTTATAAAAATTGTTATAAAATAGTATTTATTTTTATTATAATTAGATTAAAAAATAATCTTTTTCTATTGAAAATGATGTAAAATATAAAATAATAAATTTTTTGTATATATTTATTATGTTAATTATCAATTAGTTCATTATATTTATAATTTTTAATATATTTAATTTATTTTTATATAGAATTATATAATTGTCTATAAAAATAAATTATTAATCTTTATATTTTCTATTTTGGGTTGATTTTAATAAATTTATATATTTTACAATTAAAATAATTTTTATATAAAAATTACTTATTTTAAATTTATAAAAGTAAAACTATAATATAATAAAATATTATAATATAATTAATAAATAATCAAAATATATTTATTTGTGTAAAATACATAATAAATTTTTAAGGACAAATAAAGAATAAAAAAATTTAAACTGAAAAAGCTATTTCAAAACTCGGGTAAGTTAGCTTTTCATAAATTAAATTTTTTGGTCCAAAAAACTAATTTACCAAATACCTAAATTAAGTTTAATAAGCTAAAAACCCTTCAAAAGCTCTTTGCCAAACATCCTGTAAATATAATTAACAATAGGAATATATTTTTTTCACCAATTATACGCCTTTATAACTAATATATATAAATTAAATACGATTTAAATTAAAATATTACTTTGATGTAATAAAAATAAATATGATTTATTTTTAACTAAAATAAAAGTTAAATATGACATTTTACATTATGAAAGAGGTATTATATATGTTTAATTCAATAAATTTTCAACAAATGTTGAGCAATATGAGAAACAAAAAGACGGTTAAAAAACCTATGTACTAACTCAAACATACTTCCTTCTCTCATATTTATATATCAATTTATTTTTTTCACAAAATTTTATAAATATTAGTATTATATTGAGATAAAATAGAAATAAAAGTAAAAAGATTAAATTAACTTATTAAAGGTAATAAATATATTGTAAATTGAAAGCATATTTATAATGTTAAATAAATAATACAATTACTAAAAAAAAGAAATTGATCATTTATTATGGGACGGACCAAAATGAAAAAAATAGATAAATTGTTAAAGAACGAACCAAAATGAAAAAAATAGATAAATTGTTAAGGAACGACGGGAGTATTACACATCACAATTTCATTAAAATTTAATTAATTAATTAACCAAATTATGTTAAAACACGTGTTTAACATTTTTATTTTTATTTTTTTGGGCTATGACAAGAATGACTTGATTTTGGTATCTCTTTGTTACTCATTCCATGTGAAATCCTTCCTTTGTTTTTTAGTTTTTGCTAATTTTGTCTTCAGTTACATTACAGTTTAAACATATTTTTCAGAATTTGTATTCTTTAGGACAACTTATGGGTCCAAAGTGACACCTTAAACACTTGGCTAATATTCAAAAAGACCTCAACTTGCTAAAGAAATCGACATCCCCAAAATTCTACTCGAAACAAGACTCGTTCCTCGTCTTAAAAGACAACAAAACAAATACCCGAACTCTAAGATTCACTACAAATAGTTTTTTTAAGGTATTTCAAGAAATCGAAGGCAAGCATGTTGTCCGAAAAGACCTTTATCGAAGATTTACAAATATGGAATAAACTCAGTTCAAAAAACTTGCCTTATATTGATGTTGATTCTCGATGTCTTGAGATAGTTTAAGTATGAGAGATCGTCTTCTCCTGCGAAATGAGGTTCGAGATGGGAGATTTCTGCGTGTTCTTGATCAGTAAATATCCGAGGAACACCTGTGATTCGAAAGTGTTTTTTTAGTAGTATTCGAGTAACAGATCATATTTACATTAAACATTCAGGTAACAATTTCAACTTAACATAAAATCAAATATATATATATATATTTATTGAATTAATATCTATCTATATCAATCAGACGATTATTTTAATTTAAAATTTTACTATTGAAAAACCAAAATCCAGCTCCCAAACCTACAACAAGAAAAACCTCAATGATATAATGTACTTCTTGAAACCAATTTTAAAATTTTATATACTAAAAGACCCGTCGAAATTCCTCCCCGGGATTGACAATTCATTGCGAAGCTAGTGTATTTTAAATTCTCGAAGCCTACATTAATCGTCGCTGTCCTAGTTGTTTTTCTTTGTTAAATTTTACTTTCTCTAGATTTTATTAGCTATTATATATACATATGTATGTATATATAAGTATATCAATAGTCAATTTATTAATTTATTCACAATTTCACGATGAGACAACCCTACTCACTACTAAATCGGATTTTATATTTTCATGATGTAGGAAACTAACATTTAATTTTGCAATGTGACGACAGCTGCAAAATTTTAAACTAATCAACACAGGAAACGAATCATAAAAGGGTAAGGTTACCATGAAAGCATTCTCTAGCTTCTCCAGCCATGAGCACAGCATCGCCGCTTCTAAGGAACATTGCTATTGGTGGATCTTCCCTTGATTTTCCGCCAAGTAGGAAAATGGCTTTGCAACCCAAACTGATGGATGTAAAATTTTTACATGGTAAGAAACATATATAGTTTAGAACAGAGACGATGAAATAACCGAAGAAAAGAGCAGGATGAAAACCTCATGCTAACGATCGGTTTGCTCCAATCCTTTTCCATGTCATCAAGGTGCCCGCCAAGCATATCTCCTGAAAGTGAACACATTTGATAAGTGTATATATATCATATTGAATTATAGACAGACCTAAAATTTGAGTTCAGCAATACAGACCAAGTACAATTTATTAGGGTATTCAAGTATAAACTACACCTTATCAAACAAGTACCGGGGGACACAATTCCAATATAATTAACAACTTAGTTATGGCAGGAAAGATATATAGTCAATAAAATAGTCCTATATATTGGAAATCGACCACCAAATCGGAAAGTGTTGCACTAACTCATATCTAGATGCTCAATTAGGTTTATTTATAAACCCCTCAAATATCAGTGAGTAACAGGAAAAAAAAAAAAAAAAAGCAAGTGTATAAAAATGTAATCAGCAAGACCTTGCCCAAAGTAATTAACAATGGCAGCTTCCGGCTGGAATTCTTCACCACATGGCATTGCAGGGGCTGCCAACCTTTTTGCCAGCTGACATAGTGCGTCCGGTATCTTCTTGTGAGGGAGAGAAACATTATAGCTCCGCTGCAAAAACAAAGAAAACGTTAATTCAGGAACTACAGTTTTGTTCTTTTGCAGGATTTACCACTGGTCCTTACTATTCAAATTTTTTTTTATATTATACTACAAATTTATTTTACATTCAAAACATCACATCAACATCTATTTATATAAAATCAAACAACTATTCAAATTCAACTTTTTACTATTCAAAAATCCAAACCCAAAACTCCAAACCCACAAACAAACACACCCTACAATGTTTAAGTCAAAAGCTCACTTAGGGATGCACCAAACAAACTAATAAACATCAAGAATTGTTTGCAAACCAATAATGTCAAAATAGAAATAATGCAGTTATAATGCCTTGTAGTCATCACTCATCAGCACAAAATGCACAACGAGTCAGTCCCAGATGCACAAAGAGCTACACACACTGTGCGAAAAATAAAAGTTGAGAAAATCAAGGAGTAGAAGCTTGAATCGATTGATCATCCTTAGCACAAAAATTGTGGCATGCTGTGAAGGCTACTAGACACATTCAGCATTTAAATATTGGATAGAAATCAAAATGGTGGACACAATCACCATTTTTGGCAAGCTTAGGAAAGGGATATCATGTGTTCTTTCAACCTTACAATAATATTTTTTTGCCAAAAACAGAGACATATAATACGCCCTATGCCATATAACCTTCCAAAATGGTGTTACATAGAGAAGTAATTGCAGGTTGCAACATGCAATGGAATATCAATCAAGACTGAGCGGTTAAGAAGATGTCACAACACATATAACAATCTATTGTCAAAGCCAATGTCCAAGTACCTTCAATCAATATTCTTTTTAACATAACATCCTTCGGAAGACAAGATGCATTTATTAAGAAAAAAATGGACACAGATACATAACTGAACTTATAGCAATCAATGGAACTACCAAAAATGAGATGTAGCAAAGACCTTAGACCAGTCGAATTGCAAGCCAAGAGTGCTCCATCTCAACTTACGCAGCAAAACAGATGCCGGCACTGATTTGCTTTCATCTTTGCCATTAAATTCACCCATTTCCTCAACAAACTTCCACTTGGAACTACAGACATCACTCTGAATCACAGTATTATCTGAAGTAACATTCTCAGAAAATGTCTCTTCTAAAACTAAAACTTTCCTCTCTTTAGCTGAAACAAATAAATCCTCTATCGGCCCATAAATAGCATTATGATTAGTCCGATTCGGAGGTTGGGGAAAACTAGTTAAACTCTCTCTTATCCACCTGCATTGATCTTCCAAAGTTAATGCCCCAGGAATGAAATAAAAACCTGCATTTTGAATCGAAATCAACTCCAGAAGTGCATAACTCCTGATCCTAACCAGTAAGTTGCCAACTCATTAATACCTGCATACCTGGTCGGCTTTCCAAGCAGAAAACAGGTCGATCAAAACCACATTTTGCCAACAAAACGTCCCCCTGACGTTCCCCATTACATTTATACTTCTCTAAAATTGACTTGAAATCTAAGACCTCAGACAAATCCACAGGCCTCGCCATTTTTTTCCTAAAATTACCAAACAACGAAAAGATGTATATAAAGATAAAAATAAAATAAATCAACGAACTATGCTGAAAATTCCATTACTAATCAATACTATAAGATCAAGAATTCGTACTTTTTCACTTGATCATAATATATTTTGTACTTCTTCTCCGCTTTGCGGAAAGCTGTTCTCTCGGCGCTGTCGCTTCGATCATCTGATCGGTACATCGTCGGAAAATTGCAAAGGATGTAATCCTGAACCGGAATTTAGGGTTTTGTGGCTGAAGCCCGAAGGTGTTTTATCTGATTTACTCTTTTTATAAAACGACGTCGTTTTGGGATAATATAAAAAATTGATAAATAAATTCAATATATATTATTTATTGTTTATTTTCCTTTTCGTCGCAAAACGCAGCCGGAAGTTAAAAATATCCTTTCATTCTTTACCGACGCACAATCTCACGGCAAATCCCGACGAATATCCGGCGAAATTCGACGGGGAGATTTTGGAAATGGCGTGCGGAAGTGTTTCGAACGCGGTTTTCTTGGCAGAGCCATGGATGCCTCCGCCGTTTCTGAGTAAAAAAGTTTCCAGTTTTACACCGCGCAAGAAAACGTCGACGCCGCCTCTGAATTGTGGCTGTAAAATTGTGGCGAGCGATAGGACTAAGAGTTACTTTTATGCGAGAAATTGTTTAAATAGTGAAGGAAATCCATCGAGCGATGATTCTGAGCAAGAGCCACCGCAGGAAGCTGTTCTGAAGGCAATTTCAGGTGATTTTCGTTGGCGTAGTATCAATCCTTGGATTTTGTTTGTTATCTTATTTGACAGTTGCTTACTGTATTAACTTAATTTCTTTAGTTTAATTAGTGATTTGATTATTGGAAATTTTGCTGGAAGATTGTGAGGGTTTAAAATAGTGGCTGTTTCTTCGATGCATTGGTCTTTAATGTTTATCTGGATTCAGAGCCTTTTTCTTTATGAAAGTGAATTAACTGGTGATATATCTTACGGAATTGTCAGAAGTTTCAAAGACTGAAGGCAGAATCAGACAAACTACAAATATGGTTATTGGAGGCACCGTTACAGATGATTCGACAAATGAGTGGCTTGCTTTGGATCAGAAGGTACGCACATGAGTCATGAAACATCTCCTGCATTTTATGGTTTCCAGGGCATTCATTTCTTGTTTCATTTTTACAACCAATCTTTTGCCTATAATGGATCACAATTCACAGGTGAATTCATATCCAACAGTTAGAGGATTTACAGCAATTGGAACTGGAGGTGATGATTTTGTGCATGCAATGGTTGATGCTGTTGAATCAGTAATTCAAAAGCCTGTCCCAGAAGTAAGTATCGATTTCAGAATCTTTATGCATTGTTCCCTTAATCATTATGAGTATCTCAGATTCTTTTTTGATGTGTTATCTTATTATTAGTTTGTTTGATATGAGCTTCCGTTGCTTCAATTTCATCACAATTATTTTAAGATGAAGTTCAGACTTCAGAATGTGGTTTTTTTAAGTTAGTTTAGAAGCCAAGTCATGCAAATAGAAGTAAATATACCTATAGGATGGTCTGTTGTGCAACATCAAATGAGGATAAGTGCTAAGTTATCGAAATTTTGGTTTTACTATATAAGACCTAGAAGATATGTTTAGGTAGTCCCTGGAACAGATATATTTGGATAAAATGTCACATTTTGGCAGACGACTTTCTTTATGCTTAAAGTTCTACCAGTTTAACTGATTGTGGTGGTTTCAGCAAATAGACATAGTAGAAAGTATGAAAGAACACTATTCTAATTTTGAATTTTTTTTTCCTTCTTCCCTCCGGTTGGGGCTGCTTGCCAAAAGTTCTAGACAGAACAATGATTCTCGTGTCTCATCAGGCATCGGTTTATATTTGATTTCAAATATTACGTTACTCTGATGATGATTTTTGATAGCATCAAGACTACCCATAAGATTCTTTATGTGGATAAATCTTCTGATCAGTTAATCTCTTGTGAATAGCATTGTGTTGATCTGAATCAAGAACTTGTTAAACGAAAATTGATTTAGTATGATCGCCACTGCCAACCCTGTTTACCCCATTATAGGTCCATAGCAATTCTAGCATAGGGTCCATGCCCAACTCGTTAATAACTTTGAAAGTGTTGAGGGTGAGGGTGTCAAAAGGTCATTACATAATAATTTCTATACAAATAGAGCTTAAGCTCTATAGCTTCTACAAAATGTCATTAGGGCTGTTTCTTTAAAGTCTGGTTTTGGTCTCACAATTCAATTAATTTCTTTTAATATATTAGGGAAAAAAATTTAATTTTTCATTCAAAATATTACATCAAATCCCTGCTTATATCATCAAACACTATTTTAATTCATATTCTATATCCAAACCCCGAATTCAAACCTTAAGGAAACACACCCGAATGCTTCTCTATGATCATCAAAATGAGAATGTTTACGTGTGTTCGAAATACATTCTTGTCCTTTAGACACTGATTTGTTAGGTATATTTTCTTTCACTATACTTGAGTTTATGTTTCTATGTGTAAGAATGGATAATTTATTCGGAAGAAATAAATAAATAAATAAATAGTTGGTCTCTATAGTTTAAATAAGTCTGCATGCATGTATAGAAGTTTGGATTGAATTTCAATAAAACTAATTTCCGCGAAAATGCATTTTTGCGTGTATGTAAATAGGGAAGATTGAACTCTAACAATTGTATAGTTTGTATGGAACGTTTTCAAATGGGTGCAAGGTACGATCTTGATTTAAAAAATTGGATGAAAAAAAAAAATATATATATATATTTAGCTTTCTCCCAGATCGAACCCCTAATGCCCAATCCCGGGTCGAACCCTAATTGTTTAAATAGATTCCCGAATAGGAAGTTTGATTATCGATTGTATTTATATTATATTAACATCAGTTATATCTTGTCTGTCATTATATCATGTATTGTAGCTGTGATCTGTAACTTCAACACAATAATTGTGTAATCATATATATATATATATATATTTCACATTAAAAAATGAAGTAGGAATTATTAACATGTGTTGTGGTAGTGCAGGGTAAAGTGAAACAGAAGACATCCTCCACTGGCAAATATGTATCTGTAAATATTGGTCCTGTTCGAGTTGTTTCCAGTGAACAGGTCTCTCTCTCTCTATCTCTCTCTCTATCTCTCTCTCTAGAAATAGATATATATATATTCTGTATGTATATGTATGTGATTTTGTGAAGTGCATGTATATTTACTCTGCAGGTGCAAGCAGTGTACAATGCCATGAGAAGAGACAACAGGATGAAATATTTTTTGTAAATCCTACTTCCCCCACTTCAATTATCATCACCTAAACATCTGTCCATCCAATTATTATATATATATATATATAAATATATAAAATATATTTCTATCACAATAATTACTCATTTAAAAAAAAAAAAAAAAAAGGTAATCCGGAATTTGTGAGCTGTCAGATGCGATTTCAAAAAAGAAAAGAAAAATATATGATCGGCGGCGCACTGTAGATACCAAGCGCGTTCCATACTCGCGGCGCATTCTAGCAGAAGCCGCCGCCAAGATCCGCCGCCGCCGGGATCTGGAAGTGCCATAACCTCCCCACCGCCGTAACCAAATTCTTCTTACACAAAAACGCCTCCGCGTACATCCTCTCCACCCGCCGGTCCACGTCGTGCACGAACACGTGCGTCGCACCTGACCTCCGCCGGTTCCGCCCCATCACCGCCGCCGAATATATCGCCGCCATCCTCCCCGGCGCCTCCGGGAAGTACCCCCGCGGCGCGTCCACCATTATCATGTCCCACTCCGTCGCGTACACCTCCTCCGGCAGCATATTCAGCGCCAATCTGCGAACCGCCGACCGGTTTCTTACTCCCCGGCGCCGCCGGTTCAAAATTACGGTTTATTTTAACAAAAAAAAAAACACTACCTGCACTTATCGTTTCCCCGCAGGAACGACTTCGCCGCCGCGCAGTCCGGTTCGCCGCCGTAGTGCCGCCGCAGCAGCTCGTCGGCCTCCGAGAGGCGCGTCCGGTAACGCACGGTGTCCGCGCGTAGACCGGGGGCGTGTTTAAGAACCGTCTGCACCCACTTCGGATCCTCCTCGAGGAATAGCGTCTTGCCACGTGGATTAATCGCCGCCCACATGAGCGAGTCGTGACCCAAGCCGAACACCAGCAAGTTAGCCGAGCCGCCGAGGGAATTCAGCACGCCGACGGAGACGCCGATCTCGGCGTGGCTCTGCTGCGGCACAATGCGTGAAGTGGCGTAGTGGACAATGGCTTCCACTTGAGCCGCCGACTGCGCCGCCGCCGCCGTCCCGTTCTCCTCGGCTCGCGGATCTGCCGGCGCGCCGCCGCAGAAGAGCGGCGCGCGTAGGTATAGAGAGATGAGCAATGCGCCGCTGATTAAGCCGGCGACGGCGACGCCGAGAAGCCGCGTGCTTTCCGGCTTCAATTGCCTTCGATTATGATGGTAATGCTTTTGGGTATGGATTTTCTGCATTGTTTTGAAATAATTCTTTTCTGCCCCACCTAAAAAAACACCTAAATTAATTAGCCAAAAGTATGCACATTTGCAGTGCTAAATGGGGTTTGAAATTTTGGGGCTTTTCATTTTTGTTGAATGAGGCAAGAGGGACCAATTTATTTATTTTATTTTATTTTGGACCATTTTGGTGTGTGATTGGAGAAAGGGGTATGATTCTTGGTGACTGCCGGGACTTGGACTCCTGTATTCTCTGGGAGCTTTGTTCATGGATATATGATGTGGGGCCCATGATCGGGAAAGTTGCGGTGGAGCTGGGGTCCAGGGACCTTCTGGTGAAACCGGTGTGCTAAACACCCAAGGGCATCAAGGTAATTTAATTGACAAATTAATGTCATGTTCATGTTGTGCTTAAACGACACCATAATTGAGAATAGTATTTTTTATTTTTTTTTTCATTAATAAATATCAGGAAAAATATAAATTTACTTTTATAAATTGCACTATTTATTACTTGGTCATTTGATTTTGTTTGTAAGAAAATTTCTATCACACATATTGTCATTATGGTAATTCTGATCAATTTATTTCCATTGTGTGTTGAGAGTTAAAAATTCCTCCCTCCGTCTCATACACCGTGTGTCTGCTACACTGTAGATACGGTAAGTGTAATTAGCAGATAATAAAAAATGTATTAGTGAAAATAATTATTTTATAATATAAATAATTATAAATTAAGATTAAAATAACTAATTAGTTTAATTAAAATTTAAAAAAAAATAAATTAAAAAGTTTAAAATAAGATTAAAAGTGTGTAATTATTTTTTAAAAAACGAAAGTGACATGGAATATGGGACGGACAAAAACATGATATGTAGGACAAAGAGAGTAAAAAATAATTTATTTTTTGTTTATTACTCTTTAGTTTTTATTCCGTATTAAATACTCATATTATTTCTTCCTACAAAATCTTTTTCTTTGTCTTCTTCGTAGCTTACGTATAGACGGTAGAGTTTTATGTAACATACCTTTTTTCTATTGATTAGCCTATTTTAAATTTATTCATTTGTATATTTTTGTATATATATACACCCATAAATAAAAATATAATTGATTTTTTTGTTATATTTTTCTCAATGAATTTTTTTATTTTATCAAACCGAATAATATATTTTTCGTTCTCCAACAAATGCTCTTCCGTTATAATTTTATGTGTAATTATTTCTATGCAATTTTATTATTTGTACAAACTACTTTCTATTTAACATGTTAAAAAAGAATTTCATTACATAAAATATTCAATATTAGAGATTTAGAATAAAATATTTTAATATTTATTTTATTATTTCATCAAATAAAAAATATTAAGATTAACACTCATTACAATATTACACAACTTAATCAAATCAATTAATTATATAATATAATATTTTTTAATATGCGTATCAAAAAAATAGACCAATTTAAATGTTGGTTTTTTTGTTTAGTTCAAATATACAAATAGGATAAATTTAATATATGAACGAATAAGAAAAATGAAAAAAAAAAATAGCAAAAAAGGAAAATAAGATAATATATAATACTATAATAATAAAAAAATAATAAAAAATGTTAAAGGCACATATATATTTTTTCCGAGTTATATGTACTTATTTTGATATTTTCGTCTGTTCAATTTAAATATATTTGTTTTTTAAGTAAAGTACTTTTTACTTTAATAAAAAAAAAGTACTCATATATACTATGTACAATATTACAAAAAATATCAATAAAAAGTAAATAAATTAAAAAATAAATTTATCTTTTTATCTTTGTAGAAAGGAATATATTAAGAGCAAATTGGTTGCCTCTCAATGTGTGTTTGTTTGGGGTTTGAATTTTGAGTTAGAATTTAAATAGTAAAAATTTTGAATTTGAATAGTTGTATGACGTGATATAAATAGGTGTTGATGTGATGTTTTGAATGTAAAATTGATTTTTAGTATAATATAAAAAATAAAAAATAGGTGTTTGATTTGATGTTTTTTAGGGAAAAAATTGGATGAATAGTGTAAATCCAATCCAATCCCCCAAACAAACACACTTAGTGTAATTGGATTTATTCGAGACCAATGAATTTTAGGATTAAGTGAACTTCGGATGGGATGTTTGGAGTGCGTACTCGAAAAAACTAATTTTGACATGAATTCTTGTTGATATGGCTTTAGTCATGGGCATTACTAAGTCTGTTGTCTACCAATCTTAAAGTTTTGTAATTAAATTTATGAGACAAAATGTAATAACTAACTTGGTCATGACCATAATTAAGTGGTACAAGCTATTTTGAAATTTTTCCTAGAATTTTAATTTCAAAATTGTATTTATCTTATGAATTGATGTGTCCAATAATATTTAAATTATGAATTCAAACTTTTGTTTGAATTGAATCAATACATCAATTTATTTTGAATTCAAATGAATATTTGAATTGAAAAACACACTCATTCTTTTTAAATTTTGAAATTTAGATTGAACCTTTTGTTTGTTCATTTTAAATATAAGGTTACTTATTATCTATAAATAGATGGATTGGTCCCATTTGTATATATATATAAGAAAAAAAATGAGATAATTAAAAACAATAAAACACCTTCAGGAGGGCTGTTTGTTTCAAGGATTTGATAGGATTTCATGGGATTTGGATTTTAAAATCCCATAAAATTCATGTTTGGTTAAAAAAAGATAATGGAATTTAAAATAATGTGATTTAAAAACATAATCCAAAATCCTACAAATGAGGAATTTATTAGTAATGGGGTAGACCTTTTACTTTTAAATCTCATTCTATAGGATTTTAAATTTTACTTTTATATTCTTATATAAAAAAAATATATTATATATTATAAATATATTTATATAAAATTAAATTAAATAATTTTAAAATTAATTTTTATTTGAATTATATGTTAAATTAAATTAATACTATTATTTATTATGGTACAATATTTTTAAAATAAATTAATGAATTCATTGTTTTAAATTTTTATTTATTATAAATTTTATTTAAATTATAAAATTATCAGAATGACAATAAGTCGAATTCAGCCGGAACTGAGATCCATCCCGAATATATATATTGTTAGACTTTAGATCCAAATTGGATATGATTATACCAAATTCGGCCGAAACTATACCCGGTAAAACCCGATGGATCTAACAAATTCAATTTTTTTTACAATTCTTAAATTTTAATTTAAAATTATGTACTGACCAAATATATATTATTTATGTATTTTATGAAAAAAATATTATAATAAAATAAATAAATAAATTAAAATTTTTAAAATATTTTTAATATAATTATATTGTTAGAAATTATTTTTTCATATCTAAAGTCTATATATTATTAATATTATAAATCGACTCTGGGTGCAGGTATAGTCCGCTTAGACCCTAGATCCGATTCGGACCCGATTAGAATACCCATAATATGACGCGGATCAAGATCTAATACTCAAATAATTGGACTTAACTTCAAATAAATATGTCAAGTTCGAATCGGGTTTCGAATTTACGATAACCTATTGTAATCCGTATAAAATTATTAATACATTCAATTTATATTTATTATAAATTAGATGTTTAATTTATCAAAATAAATAAAATTCATAGGGGAACAATCATGTCATTTAGAATATAAAAAATTCAAATCCTTCCGCTCATATAAAAAAACAAACAAGACGTGAGAAATATAAATCCCACATAATTTTACCAACCAAACATATGATAGGATTCCAAATCCTAAATATAATAAATCATATCACATATAAATCCTGCTCCCAATCCCACAAAAAAATCCATGAACCAAACAACCTTGGGTATTTGTAATATTAAGTAGACACTACAGTTATTAAACAAAGAAATGAAAAAAAAAGGATAGAAAATTAGACACACTAATTAATAAAAAGACAAACCACCGTAGTAATAATAATAATAACAATAATAATATCTTAAAAGATTCAAAAACCAACAAAGTTACCATCTTCATAACTTAGTTCAGTTTAGTTTAGGATTAAAAAAAAAAAAGCATACCTTAAAAATCTCCCAAAAACTGAAAGTCAGTTCAATATGTTAGAGAACAAGTCTTCTTCTTCATCATACCCACCATTGCCGCCGCCGCGGTGGTGGTGCCCCGCCGCCCACAATCCGCCCTCCGGCACCGTTCCCACATTCATCACCGCCGGAGTTTCCGGCACCGCCATCGATGCCGCTGCCGCCGCCGGAATGGAATCAGTTCCACAAGAACCCCACAAACTAGTTGACAGAAGAGAGAGAGCACGGCTGTATTCCGGCGACGACGACGACATCAGAGACCCCTCCGAACCTGCCGGAAAACGACACCGAGATTAAAACACGATCAATTTTTTAAAACGCAAAATCGCACCGCTAACCTGGGTTCAGAACCTCTGGCGGATTGTCGTGCATGTAGACGGGGATGGGAGCATAGTGCTGCAGTTTGATCCCGGGAACGTGGATTTGTCTATTGGCGCCTTCGTCTTCGTTCGAGTACCCTTTTGTAAGGGTGAACTTGGAGTTGCATGTCCTTGTCCACACCGCGCCGACGGGACTTTGATAATCGATCGCCGCAGCGTTGTTCAGCATGAAACCCATCTCATGCTTCCCTTCTGTCGATCGAAATTAGATTTATCGATAGAATCATATAATTGAAACAAGCTTAGTCTAAAAGTATCGCAACATTGAAATTAGATTTACCGATGAATCATAAATGAAACGAGCTTAGTCTAAAATTATCGCAACATTGAAACTAGATTCATCTTCAGAATCATAAATGAAACGAACTTAGCCTAAAATTATCATAACATTGAAATTAGATTTACCAATGAATCATTAATGAAACGAGCTTAGTCTAAAATTATCGCAACATTGAAATTAGATTTACCTATGAATCATATATGAAACAAGCTTATAGCCTAAAATTATCGCAACATTGAAATTAGATTTACCGATGAATCATTAATGAAACGAGCTTAGTCTAAAATTATCGCAACATTGAAATTAGATTCACCGATGATCATAAATGAAACGAGCTTAGTCTAAAATTATCGCAACATTGAAATTAGATTCACCGATGATCATAAATGAAACGAGCTTAGTCTAAAATTATCGCAACATTGAAATTAGATTCACCGATGATCATAAATGAAACGAGCTTAGTCTAAACTTATCGCAACATTGAAATTAGATCCACCGAAGAATCATAAATGAAACGAATTTGGTCTAAAATTATCGCAACATTGAAATTGGATCCACCGAAGAATCATAAATGAAACGTGTTTGGTCTAAAATTATCGGAACATTGAAATTAGATTCACCGATGAATCATAAATGAAATGAGTTTGGTCTAAAATTATCGCAATATTGAAATTAGATTCATCGATAGAATCATAAATGAAACAAGTTTAGTCTAAAATTATCTTAACATTGAAACTAGATTTCTTGATGAATCATACACGAAACGAGTTTAGTCTAAAATTATCATAACATTGAAACTAAATTTATCGATGAATCTAAAATTATCGCAACATAAGCCACAACAATCAGGTATCGAAAGCTACCCCTTCTTTTAAATTCTTTTGAGGTTTCAGAATCGAAAAGGGACCGTAGAAATCAATTTTGACAATAGTTTACGCTACATTCTTGCGTCGAGAAGATTTAAACACATTTGAGCCACATAAACGATACTTCGATAATTAAAAGCGCCTAAAGTGTGCCTGATTTTGCAAGACAGACATGAAATATATTCAAAATTTCACATCGATAATTAAGTACAACTAAAACAAAAGCGTACCATTACCAAAGAACGGCGATGACAGCCTAGTCGGATTAAACTGGATCGTTTCCTGCTTTGGTTTTCTACGCCTCGCGTTATGATCAGAAAGTCGCCTTCGACAACTGCGCTTCTTTTCATCAAACTCTGCCAAACTGTGGAACCTTCAAAAGAAGAACGAGCAATTCTTTTATACAATAAAGCAGTTCATGTCGAATTCGAAAGTTTCTTCATCGATAATTACCTGCTGCACTGTTGGCAAAACCGACGTTCAAGGCCTCCGACGATAACTTTAGGCCATTTCGAATGACTTTCACAAACTCGATGTTTTCGGTGATATTCTTTCGCAGCTGAAAGATCAGTATTGCAGCCTTCGACTACACATCGCGGCACCGACGGGATTTGAGCTGCGGATTTCATTTTCTTCATCGAAATGGCGGACGTATTCATCACAGGAAAACACGGGTTCTTAACATTGCTCCCAACATTGCCGTTCTCGAAATAAGTTCGCTTGCCAAGCTTGAGGCCAATCAGTTGTTCTCCAGAACCCATAGAAGAATCCGCGCCTCTCGATAAATTAGTCCCTTTCAGCTCCATTTTTTCGCCAGAAAATTCCTCGAAAAATCGACAGCGGGTAGTTTGCAGCCCATCCTTTGTGGAGGAATCGGTAGATGCTGATATTGAGCTCTTGGCAGAATAAACGCGGCCGCTGTCGGAGCCGGAAACGGCGCTATTACCGCATCCTGCCGAGAGATTGAACGATCCAGCTTCGGTTTCTCCATCGTCGACAACCATCCAGTCTGCTAACTGCAACTTTTTTGAACTCTCGATCGATTTTGAACCACACATGACTATGTTCTCCCAATCCCATTTTGCATTCCAGTCCATCTCTGAATATTGGCTCATCAGATTTGCTTCTCAGTTAATTATCCATTCGCTTTCCGAGCATTCCACGCTGCAAATGTGATGTGAAAAAACAGAGATTAAATCCCCGAAAACCAGAGGAGAACCTCAAATAAGAACATCAAATCCCTCAAATTATCAAATACAAATGAGCTTAGCATAAATAAGTTCTCAAGATCTTATCTAAACTTTTGCAATGTGGATTATTAGAACAGATTCAAGGAAGAAATGTGTAGATTAGAACAAACTATGAAAAATCTCAAAAGAAAACAGGTCCAAAACTTGAACAGATTAACATGGAGACAGTGAAAAACAAGAAAAGATCATCACAAAACCAAAAATCAAAGCCTACAAAACCCCATTTTTCTGTTCATCATAAAAGTTCAAGCAATCATACATATCACAAAGTCAGACTATCTTTTTCTTCATTGATTCTTCAAAGTTTCTGACAAAATTACTCTCTCTCTCTCTCTCTCTCTCTCTCTCTCTCTCTCTCTCTCTCTCTCTCTCTCTTCGTACTTTCAGCAGTTTGCATAACTGAAAAGGCTGTTTACTAATTTCTACAGACTGCCTGAAGCTTAACCCAACTTTTCTTTTCTTTCAGACAACACAACACCACCACCAAGAACAAATCAAAAAATGGCATTTCTCTATAATCTATCTCCAACTTTCTATTTTCGCACCAACTGACTTTTCACCTGCTCAGTTTCATCCCGGATTAAACTCCATTAATAACAAGATCAGAGGATCTCAAATCTCCACCTAACTAATTGCACAAATGAATTATGATCAATCAAGTCCCCCATATGTCGCTTTCAATGACTTTTCACCTAACTAACCGCACAGATGTCAGCAAAAATCACTACCAAAACAGCTGTTGCTTTAATTCTTCGATCGGGAATTACCACTTAGTACTAACTACACTGCTAACTAAAAATGTATAGTCTCCACCTACACCTCACACTCTTCAATAATACACTCAGGAATTAAATAGCTATGGGGGCAGTTTATGGTCCCCAACCTAGCTAGGGTTTCATTATTGGAACTACAACAACACAAATTTAATGAAAACAAACAAACAAACAAACAAACAACAAAAACACTTCCACAATCAGTACATACAAGCTGTTTCCAATCCACAATCACGTAGAAATCAATCAATCATTAAAAAAACTAGAAAAATTAACAGTAGTCGAAGACAGAAGAAGAAATCGGAGACAAATCCACACAATTAGGAACGGAATACAATTTCAATTAGCGCGAACTACTTGAGGATGCTTTTTCAGCCATTATAATTACAATCCATCCCCGAATCCGGCAGAGTTCATCGCATTGACCGGAGAAATAGTTCCCACATTCCCGGCGCAATGATTACAGCAGTGAAGATAAATTAGTTAACCGAGCCACAGCATGATTAAGCAACGAATAACAGCAGAAAAAGGTCAAAAAAACACCTTCTCGATAAGGAAAAATAAAGAGAGCTGCAGCTTACCCAGTGCGCGCAGAGAGGGATCCAATAATGTGTGGAGAATTTGGGGGTTTGAGCGAAAGTGAGGCGACAAATTTCTTACCAAATGGAGAAAGCCACTGAGTGGGAACAATGGCGATAACAGTGTGAGCTTACTATACAATGGAGAGGAGGCAGGGGATTGTGATACCCTGCAGCGCGGTTTTTGTGCACCGGGTTGAATCTGACGGTTGCAATTTCGGTTTTAGGAATGGACGGTGGTGATGAATTTGGGAGTGTGGGAGGGTGCAGAGGGACCTAGTGTAGATTAGTGAGTGTAAAGGGACGGTGGGGGATGGCGGAGGACAGGTGGACGGCTGAGATTGGATGACAGAAAAGGACAGGGATTTTGGTCTGCAACTGGCACATGGCAGAAAGTAGTGCAACAGTGGAAACGAAATGGGACCCGCCATTGTTGTATCTCTTGTCTATTTCCTTGTTGTCGTTTTTGGGTTTTGTTCTTTTATTTATCTAAAATTTTATACTCTAAAAATGATGTTTAAAAAATTAATAAATAATAATATTTAATTAAAAGTGGATATAAATTAAAATATAAAAAATTAAAATATTTTTATTTTTAAATAATTTAAAAATATATATATTAAAGTAATAATTATGGATAGTTTAAAAAAGTATGATTAATTTTGTTATAAAGTGGAGATTACGATTACTAAATAAGGAAACAAAATAATTGTTTTGTGACAGACAAAAATAAAAAAACAAGACAACTCTATTGGGACGAAAGAAGCATAATTTTAAACTCTATTTAGGATTTAGTATTAGATTAAAAATATTTTCGTCCATTTTGAAAGAGACTCTTTGAGATTTTGTATAGATTAAAAAATAATACTCTCTCCGTCTCATATACCATGTCCATGTTGCCGTTTTTGTTCGTCCCACATACCATGTCACTTTCATTTTTTGGAAAATAATTACACACTTTAATCTCAATTTAAATTTTTAAATTTTATTTTTTTAAATTTTAATTAAACTAACTAGTTATCTTAATTTTAATTTATAAGTATTTATATTATAGGATAATTATTTTCACTAATACATTCTTAATTATCTACTAATTACATCCTACCTAAAATACGGTGTCTACAGTGTAGTAGACACAGTATCTGAGACGGAGGGAGTAATATTTTATTGATTAGTATAAGTGTGTAAGACATTTGAATATTTTTGTCATTTGACTTTATATAAAAATTAAATGTATATATCATTTGTATGTTTGTAATTTAAATAAAAATTAATGGTATTTTGGTATTAGTATATGATTATCTTAACTAAAAGAAATAAATACTTTAAAATAGGACAGACGAAAAGGTAAAATTAGTATTTTAAATTGGGACCGAGAAAGTTTTTTTTTTTTTTTTGTCCCAAAATAATATGGATATTTGGAATGAGAATGAGAATTAATAAATATTAGTATTAAATTGATATTTTGGGTAAAAGTGTTTCTAAGAGATTAAAATACTTTTACTTTATGTAATTATAAAAATAGAGATAGTTTTGTAAAAGATTAGAAACTAGTTACCAAAAATAAAATTAGGACTATTTTTTTTAAACGCACGAAAATAACAAAATTGGACTATTATTTTATGACATATAAAATAATATTTTATTAGTTAGTTAAAGTGTGTAAGAAATTTCGACATTTTTTACCTTGTATTTGTAATGATATATTTGTATTTTAAATAAAAGTTAAAAATATTTTGATATTAGTGTATGATTATTTTTACTAAAAGAGATATTTTTTACTATGATTAACGAAAATGATAATTTAAATTAGGACCGAGGGAGTACTTACTATAAAATACTACTCTCTCCATCCCACATTTTGTGTCTAATTTATTGTAGATACGATAACTTTAGGTAAAATATAATTAGTTAATAATTAAGAAATATTTTAATAAAAACAATAATCAAATTAATTATAAATTAAGATTAAAATCAATTTTAAAATATAATTATATCACGAAAATAAGGTGGGATACACAAAAATAGAAATAATAGACGAAAAACATAGGATGGAGGACGTAATATTTTAATGTCCGAATTTTTTTATTTTACTTTTTCCGTTTAGAATAATTATGTCATTTTTTTAATTAAATTTATATATAATTTATACCTCACTACATTATTATTAATTTTTAATAAATTTTTATAATACTCTACTTTATTTTTTATCTATCATACTATTATATTAAATTATTATTATTTATAAATCTCAGTGCCCGAATATTATAACATAATTAGTCTAGATGAAAAAAAATATAATTTTAATTGAATACCGAAAATTTAAAATTATATGATATTGTAATATAATGAGAAATAGATAAAAATAGCATTTTGCATTACAACAATAAAAAATAATAATTATTATTATAATAATAATAATAATAATTTATATAAATATACTTAGATAAGTGGAAAAAATAACTATAAATTAGTTATAATTTATTTAGAAATAATAAAATTATGAAGAGATAAATATGCATAAATTATCATTTTAATGTAAAAATATATATAATATTTTATATAAGGATTTATATAATTTATTTTGATATTAATATACAATTTTTTTAAATATTTTTCATCTATAACTATTTAATTATTTTAGATTGTGAATAATCCATAGTTTACATAAGTAATAAAATGCAATTATTCACATAATATGTTACTATTTTATTTTACTATACCTTTATTATAGTCGTTGTCTTCGAATTTTCTTTTATATACATAGTTCGTCTAATGTAACTTATCTTATCGGATGTTTGAAAATTTACTGATAGTACACTTAAATAATGGCACCTACAAATTTTCACACCAAAAAAAAAAAAAAAACACACCTTAAATAATTTTTAATATAAGTAAAAAGTAAATTATTTAATTTAATATTTTTGAAAAGAAAAATACTATATTCTTCCGCAACCAATCTATCTATTTACATTTTGTGTCATTATTTTTAACATTAAAAATATTCTTATATTTCTTATACAAATAACGGTACATTAGTATTATAAAACACAAATAAAAGTATTTTTATGATTTTTTTTAATTTGTATTATATTTTAATATAATAATTAATATTCAAATATTACTATACAAAAAATAAATTGATAAATTGGTTGTGGACGAGGACAATATAAATAATTAAAAACCAATCAAACACGCCTTTAAATTTTCATGAATTTGTTTACTTTTCATTTAAAAAATTAAAAAAGAAAACTACTACTACCTTATTATTTTAATATTTTAATTCCTCTTTAAGAAAATAGCAATCATTCTTCATTGTGAGTATATACCAACTTGTTCCATACTCACTCCGTATCATAAATATAATTTTAATTGGGTTGAGTACCATATTTAAGAAATATTGATATTATATTGACAGTGGGTAAAAAGTATGGATACAAAATTTTTTACCGTTGTGAGTGTATTAGTGTAAAAAGTAGCGACAATTGTGTAATAAAAATGAAAAAATAGAAGTAGTTTTATAGTGATATGGTTATTTATTAAAATAAGACTATTATTTTAGGACGAACAAAAATGGTAAATAAGACAATTATATTGAACGGAGAGAGTAATTTATATAAAAATATCATAATATTTACAAGATTATTCATTTCCGTTGTAATTACACGGGCAATAATAGGTTAATTCTACTAAAAAATTTAATTCATAATTTACTTTCGATATTGATGTTTTTTTTTAAAAAAAATAAATATATACTTTCTCTACTCCAAAAGAATAGACTTATTCGGTTGGGCACACGATTTTAAAAATAATAATACTACAATTTACTCTACAAATATCATTATATTTGTATTATAATAGATTAATATAAATATTTTTGTATTTTCTCTTAATTTATGCTACGTATTAATATAATAATTAATATTCAAATATTAACACGCAAAAAATTTATGATACTCTTCTTATGAGACGAAAGTAACACTCCGTCCGTCCCAATACAATAGTCTTGTTTACTATTTTTGTCCGTCTTAAAACAATAGTCTCATTTTCATAAATATTTATATCACCGTAAAATTATCCATACTTTTTTTATTATTATTACATAAATGTCACTATTTTTTTATACTAATACACTTGTAAAGGCAAAAACGTCTTTTATTCATATTTTTTTATCAACTATCAATATAATATCAATATTTTTAAAATTTTGTATCCAACTCAAATAAGACCATAATTTTAGAACGGATGGAATATTATATTAAAAATGTGTATGACTTAGATGTTAAAGGACAAAATATTATATGAAAAAATAAAACTATTATATATTGTGTAATAATATTATCAAGACCTTTAATCTATGGAATGGATCCAACTACATAGGTATATATGAACAATATATATATATAGTTAAATTTAAAATTGTATACTCCCTCCGTCCCAAAATTATAGTCTTAATTGGGTTACGCACGAGAATTAAGGAATATTGATATTATATTGATAGTTGGTAAAAAATGTAGATAAAAGATTTTTTTACCTTGTGAGTGTATTAGTGTAAAAAGTAGTGACAATTGCGTAATAAAAATGAAAAAGTATGAATAGTTTTATGATGATATGGTTATTTATGAAAATAAGACTATTATTTTAGAACGGACAAAAATGATAAATGAGACTATTAT